GTATATAACGTTTGAGGTTTTGAACTTGAAAAACGGTGTGTACTGACGTCTTCCGCAGTTGAAACAACATTCCTTCTGATGTTCATTCATGTTTTTTCAATGCTATAAATTAACTAGAAGGATAAGATCAGCTCACGCAGCTTTAACTGAGGCTCTACAGCGATCTGTCACGACACATTAAAGGGTTAGTTCACCCAAAAATGAAAATTCTGTCAGTATTTACTCACCCTCATGTTGTTCCAACCCGATAAGACCTTCGTTCATCTTCGGAACACAAATTAAGATATTTAAGATATTAAGATCGCTCCTGCATACAGTCCATAGGTTTCTTGAGGGACTGGCTCTTGCCGTCCTCGAAAAGTCATTAAAGACATCGTTAAAACAGTCCAAGTGACTACAGGGGCTCAATCTTAAGTTTATCAAACGACGAGAACACTTTTGTGCGCAAAAAAACAACAAAAATAACGTCTTTATTTCAACTATTCGTTTATTTCTCCCTCTGCGCGAGTCAGGTTACTAGTTTAATAGCGTAAGCTTCTGTTATTGTATGTCACACGCATCACACACACATGACCAGCGTCGGCCAATAGTGAGCCTACGTGTGACGTAGCTCTACGCAATCACACTACGTTAACTGACTTACAGGCTCATGGAGAAGGAAGTGATAGTTGAAATAAAGTCGTTATTTTTGTTGTTTTTTTTGCGCACAAAAGTGTTCTCGTCGTTTGATAAACTTAAGATTGAGCCCCTGTAGTCACTTGGACTATTCTAACGATGTCTTTAATGACTTTTCGAGGACAGCAAGAGTCAGTCCCTCAAGAAACCTATGGACTGTATGCAGGAGCGATCTTAATATCTTAAATATCTTAATTTGTGTTCCGAAGATGAACGAAGGTCTTACGGGGTTGAAACAACATGAGGGTGAGTAAATACTGACAGAATTTTCATTTTTGGGTGAACTAACCCTTTAAAGAGCCACAAAATGGTATTTATTGTTTAAATGTCTTTAAAAAAGGACCAAATTTGAAAGTTGAGACTTTGTTTCATATCAAAAGTAACTTGCTCTGTCCTGTCTGTCGGAGCATTGTTAGTGTCCTCTATGGCAAGCCGTTTTAGCTTTTATTCATTTCCAGGATATGAATTCTTGATATCAAAAATGTAATTCTTGATATCAAGAATTTAATTGTTGATATCAATAATTTAATTGTTAATATCAAGAATTCATATCCTGGAAATAAATAAAAGCTAAAACGACTTGCCAGCCTATGGTGGCATTTCACTAGTGAAAATACAATTACAGATATCAGCAATTCAATTCTTGATATCAACAATGCCATTTTTTGATATCAAGAATTTAATTGTTGAGATATCAACAATTAAATTCTTGAATTAATTGTTGAGATATCAACAATTAAATTCTTGAATTTAATTGTTGAGATATCAACAATTAAATTCTTGATATCAAAAAATGGCATTGTTGATATCAAGAATTCATATCCTGCGAATGATTAAAAGTCAAAACGGCTTGCCATAGCGGCACGGCTTGTCGGACATAGCAAAATAAACAGTAACTAAAGGGGGCGGGTCTTTAAGAAACAGTCAATCACGATTAAATTTTCAGTCGTCTTTGCAGGAATGCGATATGAAGACAGAAGGCATGTGTTCAGCAGGCTTTATAAGCGTTGTGATCATGTTGATAATTTAGAGGCATATCACATACGACATTGTTTGCTTTGCAGGGTTGAATGTTTTACTCACCGGGTCACAGACAGGACTGTTGTCGTTGGTGTCCATGACCATGACCTCTACGTTTGCCATGGACACGTGAAGCCCGTCAGTCGCCGTCACGTTGATAAAGTACCGTTCTTGTTCCTCGCGGTCTAACGGTCGCTTAACGTACAGCTTCCACTCTCCCTGAACCAAACCCAGAGCGAACACGCCGGCTCGGTTCCCACCTACACACAAACACACACAGAAGAGATTACATCGGACACTTAATCTCTCAATAGTCTGTGACAATTTAATCAGCAATTAAATCCACTAGTGATTGTAACACAACACACGCTCACTTCCAGGATTATCTTAATAACCTCCATTAGTCCTCTCAATGAGGGCACACTCATTAGTATGAATTGTAATAATCATTTCTTTTTATTCACATTTAAATGATCACCACTACCATCAATTACGGCCTTCCAGATTTATCACACGGACTGAAGTCCTACCCGGCTCATTAGGACAGGTCATCTTTTAAACCTCAAGCAGACAGAGGTGGAAAGAGGGAAAAAAGGAGAGCGAGAGTTAAACGGAGACGACTCTATAATCAAAGCAGCCTTTGCGTTGACAAGCATCCAATTACTGTACACTCGTAGTACAAATACGCGCCGCCTTATTCATCTAATAAAGAGAGTATTTTAACTCAGCTGGGGCTGATAACACGGAACAGTTTCTAACTGAGACGCGTCAACAAAGGCCTGGACGCCTTCCGACTTCATTTCTCTTATCCCACGCTCTCGCTCACTGGGACTTGGACAAGCTGCATTGCTTTTTCTGTGCTTTATAAGCAATGGCTCGAAAGCTTCTGATGCGTGTAATGCAATAAAATGCAAATGTCACTGCATCATATCATCAAATATTAAAGTCTGCTCATGTTCACACAGAAACAAGTGTCATTTATCATGTCATATCTCATGATGTTTGATTTGTTTTGTTTTTTTTTAGTGACAAAAGCAATATACACTAGTGTTCAAATGTTTGGGGTCAGTATTCAGCAAGGAATTCAATTGATCCAAAGTGGCAGTAAATACATTAAAAATGTTACAAAAGATTCTTTTAAACTTTTTATTTATTATCCTTAAAATGTATTAGTGGTTTTTAACATCGACAATAATAATCTGAAATGTTTCTTGAGAATCAATCAGCATATTGGAGGGATTTCTGAAGGATCATGTGACACTGAAGACTGGAATAATGATGCTGAAAATTCAGCTTTGAGCACAGGAATAAATTACATTTTACTATATATTCAAATTTAAAACGGGTATTTATATAAATTTTACTAATATTACAAAATATGACTATTTTTATTGTTTTTTATAATTTTAGAATCAGTCGGTAACACTTCACAATAAGGTTCATTTGTTAACAAATTAAAGGAGTAGTTCACTTTTAACAAAAATTTTGCTGATAATTTACTCACCCCCATGTCATCCAAGATGTCCATGTCTTTCTTTCTTCAGTCGAAAAGAAATTAAGGTTTTTGATGAAAACATATAATGCACTTCAATGGGAACCAAACATTTCAAGGTCCAAAAGACAGTTTCAGTGCAAACTGTTCACTAAACGATTCAAGACGATGAATAAGGATCTTATCAAGCGAAACGATCGCTCATTTAAAAAATAAACAAATAACAAAGTTTACGTTTTATAAGCTCAAATGCTCTCCTTGCTCTGTTCTGTGATGTGCGTTCGTGACTCTCCTGT